TTGGTTATTTTCTTTTTTCAATTTCTTTTTGAGGGAGATTCTAGTTGTGTAGTTTGTGCCACCCTTAAATTCACTACGAAGTATGTACCCAACGCTTGTTTTAAACTGGAGGTGATGCCTCTCTGCCTGGCCTCATGAGTGCTGGGATTATAGAAATTCACCAACATGGTTAAACCTATTGGATGTTCTCGTATCTCTTTAAATCATTTAGTTGTTGCTTTAAAAGAAAACTAGGGAGTTGTAATCACTCCTATAGTACAACGAAGCATTTCTGATAGTCAAACTCTAGACACTATTGGGGTTTTCACCATTATTTCCCAATAAATCACCATTTGTTTCAAGATCTATAAAGTAAGCAAGCATAAATATATGTATGTGATTCTCAGCTCCTGTGGACTCTGAAACTGTGTCAAGTTTTCATGACCATGATAGTGATAAGGCATATGTATCCTGTGAAATACAATATCTTCCAATCTAAATGCATCATGTATTTTTATGATTAACTGAGTTAAATTCTTTTGTAAATATTTTAAGTAGCAAAGCAAACTTAACATAGCCCCCCCCCAAATGTATTTTATGCACACCTGTGTCCAGGGCAATGGTGTTCTGCTAATGTTAGCTACCTACAAGGCCACCCTGGCAGACAGTGTAAAATGCATTGACTATAAGCCATCTATTCTCCTTTGATATTAAAATATGTTGCCAGGCGCAACACAAGACCCTATAAAATAAAGCAGTATTTATCTGCTTAAGCTTCTTTACCAAACAAGTTACAGACAACAGGAACAGATGTTACCTGACTGCTGCACACACTATAGGTTCAAAAAATCTCTTATTTGAATTGGCAAGGAAAACTGCGTCTTAGGAGGAGAGTTACTCATTTCCAACAAATGTAAGTCTTTCTGAGCAATTTTCAACACAGTGTAAGGCACAACCAAATGCTGGGGTTGATTATGATAATCAGGAAATAAATTAAAGGCAACATGGAAAAGTGGAATTTCTATATAACAGAAAGTTCAGCAAATTCACAAGTGTTTGGATTTTGAAGTCGATCATCAATATATTACAAAAAGTTAGAGCACCCTTGTGATAACAAGAGAGTAGTAGTTTAACCTTAAAGCCTTTTATTGAATTAAACTCCAAAGCTAATTACTTTAGGAGAGTAATGTTTATGTCTTTAACAGAAGTAAGGACACAATAATTACTTGGCAAGAAGGCAATGTAATCTGAACGATACTGTACTTAATTATTCTCTGAAATTTATGGTAATTATTTTAATGAAAACAATGGAAACATATGTACTAACAATTCCAATGCAAAATGGTATTCAAGGGATGAAGTAATAGTTACCATAAGAAAAAAAGCACAGATATCTCTGTTCATGTATTTGTATCTGTTCTGGACAGAGTAAGATTTTAAAGAGTAATCCAATGGAAAAAATCCAATGAAAAATACTTTATCAGTAAGTTCCACATATGCTTAAGACTCTGGAAAACAGTGTATTCAGCTACACAAAAAAAGTGATGTCTTATATATCCACTTAGAAACCAGAGTGCATTATTTTAAATTGTTGAAGCTCCTTGAATTGGACTTTAAGACCTTTATAGCCATGTATATGTGCGTGTGTTACTTATCTCCATGAGGCAATATATTCTCCTTGAAAGCTCATTCCCAAGTATTAACCATGCCATGGACATTCTCACCTTTAGGTAATTTCTTATGTTGTTTACCTACGCCATATAATTAACAAAATTATTACTGCCCAGTTAAGTCAATATGCTTCTCTGTTTCATATCTAGAATGGAAAAATATTTACAGAGTAAATATATTTGAAGACTTTCTTGTTTAATCTGACCTTGGTTAGATAGAATTTAAATTTAACATAGACAAATATGTGAGAGTACACATCATATTTATTAAATTCATTCATAAATGTTTCTTCTTCAACAAGTTAACTTCTGGGATCTTTAAAGTATAACTTCATTAATGATACATTTTTGCTTGTTTCAAGTTTATGGCTCCATCTCTTTACATAGAGTATTCTGATATTTGTTTGATACACTGATTTAACTTGATTAAGTCAAGTGAAATCACATATATCAGAACTCAGTTTTTCCTCACATCTGCCATATAGGAAGTCAAAATATGCATTTGAGATAATCCTATGATAAAAACACATTACATCATTTCATTTCATTTCATGTTTAATGAATCCCTTAGTGGAATTGTTTAATTGCTGACATAGTTTTCCACAGGGAGATTTAGATAACAGAGTTTGGGTCCCTGAAGTCTGATGTGAGATTGAACAAAAGCTGACTCAAAACCTTCAAAGCAAATATGAATGAAAATAGAGCCTTCCTAAAGGGGGCACAGATTCTTTCTATGAATACAAAAGCTCTTCCCCTCCCATAGTATGATAAATGTTGCAGTGGATTATTTTGAACTGTTTCCTTTACATCAAATTTGTTTGAGCTAGGATAGCAACAGTACAGTGAGCAGGTGAGTGAAAGCTGGTGGCTGGTTAGTGCTCTCGTCGTATTGGAAAGTAGAGCTGGGTGGGCTTTTCTGTGGGCACCTTCTGTACAGTTGAATATGCTACAAATAGATTGCTAATGTCTTAAGAGTAAATGTGCCTGGCATCTTGCAGGTTTAAAACCTAGTGTTTCCAGAGGCTGGGACTTAGCTATGCAGCATGAGTACCTGCCTGGCTAACATAAGGTCATGAGTTCAATCTCCGGGACCCCCTAAAAGTATCTAATGTTTCCAATAAAACTGACATCAACAACACACTAGTGTTTTGAGTGCTGTTAGCCTACTTTATTGTACATGCTTACAGTATATAATAGCTACATTGCTCATGAGCAGTTAGTGCATGTACAAAGCTCACCTTAACTAATTTTCACCTCTCCCCTTTCTGCTATCTCCCTCTATGTCTTGGTTATCTTCCAATTTTTGAAAGATTTATTTTGATATGTCATTCTTAAGATGACCTTCAGCATTATTAGGTGCTGAATAGAAATCTACTTGTAAGCAGAGTTCTCATTGAGTGTTAAGGTTTGTACATAATTGTAAAAAGTTTGAACAGATTAAAATATCAACACTGACTTAATTTATATATAACTATATTTTTGTCTTGTGATAATGACACCAACAGTCATCAGTCCATAAATAATAGTACTGTGAGGTATTGGACATTGTCATTAAGGGAATACTTTAAAATAGAATACTAGAATCCAATATTTACAACTAATTCCAATATTAGATTATTATATTTAACTCATGTACAAACATATTCTTTCATACCTATTTCATAGTACAAGCTACTAAGCTGATATTTAAAAATTTTCTTAATATTTTGTTCTCTCTTGTCTTTTTTTCTTGCCTTGATCTATTTGGATTTTATATCTAATATATATTAATCATTAAGAAACTTAAATGTGAGCTTTTATGACACAAAAAGTCACTTCAGGGTCTAACTTAGAAGATAAAATTGTATATATTTTACCCTGTACCTCCAGGAAAACATATCAATAGCTTGTGCAATCTGTTTGGAAACAAGACAGCAGACCAGTTAGAAAGAGACTATTAAGAGGTTCCAATGAAGAAGAACAGGGATGACTTTTCAAAACAATGTCAGAGTAGGGTTGTGTTTCAGCAAGAGAGGCCTTGTCTAACCCTGGAACTTTACCCTAGCACTTAAAAATTTCATTAATGGGAAAGCAGAAAAACTTGATATTTTCCATATTTCCATTATTGAATCACTAGTGCTTGATTGGGAAGACTCCGTATTTAGACCAGGAGTGCAGGCACAATAATGGACAAGACAGAATTCTCAGGAAACACATGATGTTGGGAGGTGACATCCACTAAATGTAGCTTTGGAATTCTTCTGCTTAAGTGTCTGTTCCATAACCCTTTGCAACCTCAACACATGCTTTTGGTCTGGGGTCAGAAAAGCTATCATTGCATAGGTGGTGAGTTTAGAAAAGTAAGAGGATTATTAACTGAGAAAAGAGCATTTGGACAGAAAAGTATGTTTTGAAGGAAGCCCCAGGACAGTTCCACCCCCTGTGATGGAGGATTAGTGAGGATGCTTTGGGATTAGGACAGAAACCAAGAGAGGTGTAGGTGTAGAGACGTCAGGAGAAGTGGGTATCATAAAAAGGGAGTTTTGTCACTTGATATAATAATGCACACACATTTTTAAAAGACTGAATTTTTCATAAAAATATAATTTGTAATGTTAAGCAAAATAACATTTTTCGTTGTTGGAACAAACATCCTACTTCGGTAGGTGGAAATGAGGTTGGGGAAATGGAGTGAATGTCTGTGAGGAAGCATTGTCATGTTGTGGAGACAGTGAAGGATTCAGACAAAGTCGCCTGTTATTAAGGGTGAAGTAGATTTAGGCATCGTTATATGAGGAAAGAGCATGATCCAAAGGTGACTAGGAGCAGCATAGGGTCACTAATAGACGTAAAGACAGTCAGATGCCATTAACTGCAGAAAAAACAAGCTCATTTTCCCCAGAGAAGAAAGGAGTGGAGGGAAAGAGAAACACTGAGGTATTCAAAGGTCAGCATGAGCATTCTTTTGCTGTTAACCATTTTTCTCTGGAAATTAAAAGTTACTTTTTGAGAATGAGAAAGAAATGTTTAAGTAGTACCACGAAAAAGCAAAGGGTTAGAATAACTATTAAAGGAAGGTGATAATCAATGTGAACATTATGTACATGAAAAATGTATTTTAATTAGTTCATCAATTGATTTTAAAAACAAAGACAATTCATAAATTTCTGATTTATTTGTAAAAGTTAAAATGTATGCTTTCAAGTATGCAACTCTAGGCACAGCTCCTTGATGTGAGAATGTGTGAGTGGATTTAGAGAGACCGTTTCTAAATCTTTGACTTTTTCTATTTTCTGTGGTTAGAGTCAGTTGTCGCATCCACTTCTGCCCTTACGCCAGCATCACTCCAGACAGGCAGAAGCACCGTGGATAATGAGGCTGGAGAATGGCACTTTCACTTCTGACTTCCTTCTCGTGGGCTTCAGTGACCACCCGGCACTTCAGCATGTGCTGTTTGCTGTGTTCCTTTCCATTTACTCTGCCACCCTGATGGGGAATTGTGACATGGTCGTGCTAATCACATTCAGTTCCCACTTGCACACCCCGATGTACTTTTTTCTCTGTGTGCTCTCCTTCGTGGATATGAGCTACTCTTCTGTCATTGCCCCCAAATTGCTTGTGAACTTGATATCTGATGTGAAGACCATTTCTTACAACGGCTGTGCTGCACAGTTATATTTTTTCTGCTCTTTGGTTGACACAGAATCTTTCCTGTTGGCTGCCATGGCGTATGACAGGTACACAGCAATTTGCAACCCCTTGCTTTACAGCATTATTATGTCCAAGAGGCTTTGTTGCCAGCTTGCACTTGGAGCCTTTTTGGGGGGGACCATAAGTTCAATTATTCACACCACTAATACTTTCCTTCTAGACTTCTGCTCCAAGGAAATAAACCATTTCTTCTGTGATATTTCTCCACTTTTCTCTTTGTCCTGCACTGATACATCCATGCATGACATCATTCTGGTGGTGTTTGCTAGTTTAGTGGAAGCTATTTGTCTTCTAACAGTTCTCCTGTCTTATATTTGTATTATAGTAGCCATCCTTAAAACAGGGTCAGCAGAAGGAAGAAGGAAAGGATTCTCCACCTGTGCTTCACACCTGGTGGTGGTCACTATTTATCACGGCACGCTGATCTTCATTTACTTGCGCCCCAGTGTGGGCCGTTCAATGGACACTGACAAAGTGACTTCTGTGTTCTATACACTGATTATACCCATGCTGAACCCCCTCATTTACAGCCTACGAAACAAGGATGTCAAGAATGCCTTGAGAAAAATGATTAACCACAAAAGCCTATCATAATGTAAGAAATGGGCCATGCAATTTGCTGAATATTTTTTGATTTCTGTTTCAGTTCATAAGTTAGTTTAACATGGATATTTCCAATTCTGTGGATAGAAAATTAACAAATACAGAAGAGTGTGAGTGCTTTATATTATGCCAGGCCTTTCTTACATTACATGCATAATGTATATTTTATTGTTTTACAGTTGAAAGTTTTAATATTCATTGCAGAGGAAGATTTATCCTTCACTTAATTATCCACTTCCCATGTTCTTCCCTTTTTTTCACTTCCTTCTCCAAGCATTTTTTATAAGTACGTGTAGGAATGGACAAATCACCTACATGATCAGAATCCTTTTTATCAAAGAAAATAAATATATTTCACAAGGATTTATCAATTGATTTTAATTCCCATGTAAATATGCTCACATTGTAAATTACCTCTCCAGACCTACTCATTTTAAAATTCTTTCCACAAATGTTAAGCCCTTCATATTGTTCCTTAATTTCTTCCATTTCAAATGACAGTTTGTTCTCCAAGTCGTCTGGAATCTTAGTGTACTCTGAAGACTCATTCTGTCTCACTTTGTCCTTGTCATAGTTTGTGCATGTCTTCCAGGCCTCACTAAGGTTTTCCCATTAAGTCTTATTGGGCAATCTCTTATTTCTTTACTGGCATATCTAACCTAATCTACACTCTGAGGGAAGTAATAGGTAAGTTTAGTATGGATTATTTTTAGTGATGACTCTGTGCAGATGGGACAAGTGACATTGAGAAACTGGTCACTCCTGAGTTGCTTCTGCTTCATTCTCCAGGATGGTCCTCTGCATGCAGTTAACAAGTATAAGATGTTACCAGGTGCAACAACATTTTCCAAAACAAGTAGAAAATATTTGCAAATATTGAGTAAATTGAACTCTGGATCAAAGAATGTATTCTCAAGAGCACATAGGGTGCAAAACGTCTTGATCTGTAAGTGTACAGGTAAATTCTGGGGAAAGAGGTGGCGAGAACCTTGGGCGGGAACTGGAGTCACATGTGTCTTGATGCTGGCTTCCACAGCTACTGCAGCTCACAGCTAGAGCAAGTGCAGCTGGAAAGTTAAAAGTGTTCAATCCAAATGCGAAATAACAAAACAGTAGAGAGAATGAACTATAAAGGAAAACCATATGGGAGTAAAAAAGTACATGCTGGATCAAAAGTGTAAGCTGCAGTGCTTTTTCAGGTGGTGGGATGTGTTTTCATAAAGAAGGAGTTTGTCCACAGAGATCAATACTAGAGCTTCAGCCCGTGTGAGCTTGTAGTAGGGAAGACAAGAGCAGAATCCCAAGCGTGAAGAGCCTTGCAGCTTTGCGTGGAATCCTCTGCAGGAAGTGGTCTCCAAAAGGCGTGGCTCACCACAGCAGAGAAGTTGGTACCTCTATTGATAACTGCATTCTTGCCATGGCCCTTGGGATGGGCCACACAGGACACCATTAATGAAGTTCTTTGGGATTCGTTACCTAAACTCACCTCTTGGGAAAACAGGATCTGGGGCTTAGAGTATAGTGTGCTTTCAGGCATCAGATTTTGATCAAGTTCTCTTTGATCAGAAAGGAAATGAGAAGTCATGATAAATAATGTACTTTATGAACAAGAAACATAATGGAAATTTAAAAACTTTACACTCCTCCTGCCTGACAGTCCAAGGTAAGGCTGGCTGCACCCAGATGTATGTCTGTCCTTCCCAAACCTAGAAACACATTCTGTTCCTGCCAAGTTGTCCAAGAGTAGTTTGCTTAGCAACTGAGGAGGAAGACTTTTGTCCTAAACTCCCAAGCAACCTGCTTCTTCCTGCTTTCAAGCCTATAGACACTTCAGCCTGACTGCAGCTCCTGCCAACCCTCAGGAATGAACCCCATAAGTCTGCTGGTGTAATAAACATGTTCTAACTATTTCTAAGATGAGAATATGTAATCTACTAACTAGTGATTTCTTACTGTTTATTTTTTAAATTTTGTATTACTTGTACCCTTTTTCTGTTTTTTTCTTTTTCTCCTTAAATAAAAAAAAGAAAGAAAAAGACATGTTCTATGCTATTCCTTGGTACGAGAGTCTTCCTTTTGGATTGGTACTGCTTCTTCAGCAATATCATTTCAGGTTAGAGAGGAAAATAATTTTTAAATGATAGGGGCCACATTTTAATTTTTTTCAACTGTTCAATCAGTAATTTAATACAAATATCCTGCTGAAAATTTCTATCTTTATGAATATGTTCATTCATATGATGTATTGAAATATGTAAGCATGCTCTTAAGAATCTGAATTTGTGTTATATTTTTCATAATTCTATTAATTGGTAAGTGATTTTGCTGTGAAAAATATATACCAGTAGCTATATTTGATTAAAGTACAGTATTATAGTACAGGATCACAGTACTAGCTGAAATCCAGGCATTCATCACTGTTCACTAGCAATGCATTATGCAGAACAGGGTACCACTTTATCTTCTAGATGCACAGAAAGATCATGTAGCTGCAAAATAGAAGGATGGTGACAATACTGCACCTCACAACACTTAAAATAAAGCCATGCAAACATGTACACACCAACGAAAACTACCTTGAAGAGACTATACAAAATAAATAGAAATGAAAGGTATATGCAAAGAAATAAGTTCCTGAGAATAAAGCATCATAAGTTTTTCCTTCAAATTATTATTGTTCTCTGAATCTCTCTGCTCTAATTTTCATATGAACTGAATGAAAATCTAGAGAAAATAGCCCTAAAATTGAACACCCACATCACACAATGTCATTCCTGATAATCATTACTACTACAGAAGACAAACTCACTGTAACACTTACTGGTAAAAAAAAATAAACAAAATAAAGAAGAATATTTTTGCATGAAACCATTGATGAAAGTGTGCCTTTCTGTCAAGATAGAGTTTAGGACAAATCAACAAGCGAGAAAACTGCATCATGGTGAGAAAAAGCACTGTATCAAGTTCTTGTGTGAGATTGAATATGCTTCCAGGTACTGCATTTGGCCTAGGACAAAGGCTAGACCAGCAGAGAAATTTCATGTAAGGTGAACTTAGTACAGTCAGATGAAAGGTAAGGAGTCCTTTTTATGTCATTTTAATATAGCCTCTTTTCATGTTAGTATGACAGCAAGTGTGTATTGTGTAACCCTGGAACTGCATCTTGATGCAGAAACACAAGCAATAAAGCAAAAAGCAGTGGTTGAGAAGTGAAGAAAGAGCATTGTCCATACTAAATTTGGAGTCTTAGCAGGAAAATACTCAATTATTTACTACTTATTTGTTTTTAAGTGTTGTGGTGCATATCAGAGAGTGAAAGCACTACTTACAAGACACTCCAAGAAGATAAAGTTTGACTGCCAGTATTTCCTTCAGGATCAGAAATTGTGCTACTCCATCCCTTGTTTTAAATCTTCAAACCCATGTTATGTTAAGTTCGTATTTGGGGAGAAACCTCAAGATATCTGCCTGAGATGCACTTATCAGTTAACATTGGAGACATCACAAAACACTTTTGCCAAACATCAAAATGATACTCTTTCTATTTTCCATTACTTTACAAGGTCAACAAAGTCCAGTAATTGTCGCTCCTTATACTCAAAAGCAGAAAGAATCTTGATGCCTGACTGGTGAGATCCTGTATCAAAGTTCTGGAGATTTACTCTCAGAATTATCAAACTTCCTTTTGTGTGGGAAACAGTTTTAATCAGCCCTCCATGTAGTGTTGATTGCTTTTTTCAGAGCTCCATTCACGTCTGCATTTCTAATGCTGTAGATCAGGAGTTTGGTGTCAGAGTGACAACTGTGTGGAATATAGAGGCCTGTGACTATGGATAACTGAGCAGGCTGCAAATACATGAACAGGAGGGCACAGTGAAACACAGCCACAGCTATGAGGTGGGTGGCACAGGTGGAGAAGGCTTTGCATCTGCCCTCAGCTGAGTTCATCCTAAAGATGCCGTGATGATGGAGCTGTAAGGAGAGGAGTATGGTCCCAACACAGCTCTCCATGACTCAGCCAATGGAAGTGAACATCACAATCTGATTGATGGATGTGTCTGACTTCTATAAATTTGTTTCTTACCTGCACTCCTCATTGTAATTCCCCAGGGTATGTTATATTTGTTTTTTTTTTTTGTTCCCCATTTCTGTTGAATTTCACTGAGATATGCTGATCTTTAATTAAAAATGCAGTAGTCCTTAAGAGGGAAAGTGAATTCTAAGTCTTGCTGTTGTATTTTACAAACCAGTTATACGTCATATAGTACCATGCATGTCCCTCTCTGGTCTGTGGACACACGAGAAAGGTGAAACTGAAAATAAGTGAATTAAGAAAAGATAAAACAATAATACAAGGGTCAGTTTGCAATTCTCAAAATCTTGACATGAATTCATCTAAATGCCTGTCACCATATGCAATTCTTCCAATGATTTCATTTATTCTGTGATCACATTTTAAAAGCACATAAAATGAAATAGGATATTGCAAATGATGCTGTGTCACTTCTGTAATCATGCTAGCATTTACTGTTTTCCTGTTGTCTGTGCATAGCTATTAAAATGCCAATAGTAAAGTAATTGAAACGATGTATGTTTGCATTAAGTATCACAGTATCATTTGATTTTATAACAAGCTTTATTGCATAAAAAGATAAAAGAATTTAAAAATGTACAAGAGAATTCAGGAAAATACTAGGAAACATCACCATGAGATACAACACCCCTGACCTGTGCACTATATGTAGCGCTCTCTCTCTCTCTCTCTCTCTCTCTCTCTCTCTCTCTCTCTCTCTCTCTCTCTCTGTCTCATTCACAACTGGCAAATTATGTCTCCTTGAATGTTTATATTGTTTATGTAAAGACAACAGAAAACTAGAAAACTTAAACATGGTATTTGGCTGACATGGACAGATCACTTATTTTCAGTGGTTGTGTGTGCTGGAAAACTAGTCAGAGGGCCCAACTCAAGGAGAGCAAACATACCTGGGGGT